TAAGGGTCAGACTGAGTCTAAACCAAAGGCCAGGCAGAACAGCTCTGTCTTGCAGGCCCTTGCGGAAAGATGTCAAGTCCTGCAGGGCCCTAGTCTCTTGTGACAGAGCGTTCCACCAAGTTGGGGCCAGTACCGAAAAGGCCCTGGCCCTAGCTGAGACCAATCTAACCACCTTATGACTTGGGACCTCCAAAGTGTTGTTATTTGTGGACCTTAAGGTCCTCCGCTGGGCATACCAGGAGCTCAAAGCTCAACAACTTTGGTCAATCCAATGGGTAGATCACTGCCATTTATTTTTTTTAGTGGGAGTAGATTGCAGTCTCTTGAAAGTTGGACATTCCTGGTATAGCACAAGCATCACAGAGCAGAATAAAAACAGCATTCAACTGATATTTTTTTTAAAAGGCCTGAGAACATTAAAAAGTCTTCAACTTGTGCTGGAAGAATACAAGAGTACATCCTTGGGCAGAGCATTGCAAATAAAGCTTCTCACTGCTCACTACCCACCCAATTTTAGAGATGGGGAGCATGATGAAGATCTCAAGGTATGGGTAGATACATGCAGGGAAGAGAGGTCCTTCAGGTACCCAGATCCTGACTCAAGTGTGGGGAACCTATAGTTTTTGATTGACTCTGACTCCCACCATCCCTGACCGTAGGATATGTTGACTGGGGCTGATAGGAGATGGCGTCTGACAACATTTGAAGGGGCCACAGGTTTCTAATCACCATCTTAAGTCATGGCAGCTGGAACTATGTTCATGTAAAAGGAGATCTCTCCCTGCCCCCGCCACCAGACTGTGTACTACTTGTGGAGCACAGATAGATTCATTTTGAAGGGGAGAAAATACAAGAACCAGAATGCACACACACACACACACACACACACACACAGAGAGAGCGCAAAGCTTCTTTCACCCATATCCATGACCAGGCTTTAGGTAACTGCACTAATTTAGCATTTAATGCTAAAAGAGTTTTCCAGGTTTTCTAATAATTTGGGACCCGCCCCCCCCTTGTATAATGTCATCATATGTTTTATGTGGAATGTTGAAAAGCATTTTCTCCGCACAATTTTCCTTATTATTGGGCTGTCAGAAAAAATAACGTTTGTTTCCAACCCTGCAGGGTCAAAAAGGCGAACCTGGAATTGTGCCAGTGGTAAGTTGTTGCTGGGTTCCTTTGTTTATGGTTTCCATTTTAATTTTCACTGACATGACTCTTTACGGGGTAGAGTACGTAAAACAACTTATTTATCAGAGGCATTTATGTTCCATCTTTTGGTCCTTAGATTCCCCCACCCCCTGCCCAAAGATAGGTTGTAATAAAACAATAACAGTTGTCAAATAATGGTGCAATTTGGCGCTTGCGCGCATGCCGCAAAACCCGGAAGTAACCCTTTCTGGTACTTCCGGGACGCCGTGGGACACAACCTGAAAAAACGTAACATGAAACAAACGTAACATGAGGTATGACTGTAAAATAACCAGACAGGACAATGTATATAAGTGAAGAATGTGTCAAATAGACCACAACTTTATTTAGATGTGAAAGTTTGGGCTTAGGCATTGGATATACCATTTCCAACCCAGCCCATCTGCTGGAAGTGTATTCTAGGGTTAACCCAACCTTGGGGGGCAGGGGCTATGACCTACATCAAATAGGGGTCCCCCCACTGGGGTCCCCATTTGATGAGTGCTATGGCCCTTGCCCCTGCCTGGGTGTCCGGACAGAAGCAGCTCCTCATTGATCCCTTTAATGAAATCGCCTTTCCCATGGAGGGGCAGGCAGAGGCTACAACCTCTCCTCCATCCAAGACGAAGCAGCATAAAGTTGTGACAATTGCTATGAGGAAGGCGAAAACCACAGGGCCGGGGCCAATATGCCAGGTGGAAAAATTCCTGCCCAGCCCCAGTGGCCAACAATGTCCCTAACAAGGCCAAGCACTGAGAGATGTGTGTCTGTGTGGGAAGTGAAAATACATAGCCGCCAGATAGCTTTTTAACGTACTTAGAGTGTTTGGTTTTTCATTTCCGGCTCTTGCTCCTTCTGCAGAAAATCTGTGGAAATGTTAATGGAGTCTGTCAGACAAAGAGAGAGAATTCATGCTGACAATCACGCTGCAAATCATTACCACAAAATGCATGCTACACTTCACTAAGTTGTGATCTGTTATTAAACTTGTTCTCTGTCTTTAGGTTACAGGTATTCGAGGCCGGCCCGGACCAGCTGTAAGTAATCACTAACTCCAGTATTCTTTAAAGAATGTGGAATATTCTCCCAGTGTGCACTTTCTTCTTATCTTTGGCAGCTGTTCTGATCTCTTCCTTTCAGAGTTGGTTATTGCATCTCCCTTCTAGGGCATGCTGAATAGCCATGCTATAGTTCTTATTTATACGATTGTTAGTGGTTGCTGTGCATGAGGTCTTTCATATAGATTTCCCAATAGGTTTTCATTTCCTATTGCTCTTCCTGCACTTTAGACTTCTCGTATAATACTTAGGAAAGGAAGCCCCCCCCCCCGTACTTAGATGGTCCCAAGTGTCTGTTTACCCTTTCAAATGTGTGTGAGTGTTTGCATTTGCAAACATGGAGTAGGGACAAGGGATTGCAGTAGTAGGGTTGCAGGATGGAGGGGGGGGGGAGTTAAGCCATCTCTCCTTGCCTGGTGCTTCTGTGCTCCAAATCCTGCAACTCTGCCCCTGCAAAGTGGCCTTTCTCTAACACCTGAGTTTCATTGCATTCATTGGGAATGTAACATTTGGTCTCACCTTGAGTGGAAGTGAAAGATCTCAGATCCAGGGTTAGGAGAAAATAGCTTTCAGTAGGCAGGCAAAAATTACATTGTCAGGCAGCTCAAAATGGTTGGCTTGCTTGTGTTTCCATATAGCCATCTGGTTTGCCACTGTGAGAACTCAATGCTGGACCAGATGGGCCCTTGGCCTGATCCAGCAGGGGTCTTCTTATACACACATTCCACATCTTTGTAAAGTTCATTTTAGGTTGCTGACTTCTTGTCCCCATCTGCATACCTGTCAACTGTCCCACTGTGAGCAGGACATTCCAGAATTGCAGAAGCAGTTGGATCTTGGGTTGTCTCATTTGGGCTCCCGCAAGAGTGTGGCCCCAACAGATGCCTGTTTTTGTGGGTCATACCCTTGTGTGAACCACCTGGTTCCCGCAAGAGCACAGCCCTGAAAGATGCACATTTTTTTGGGGGGGGCATGATCTCACCTGAGTCTCGTGATTTTCTCACGTGCCCTGATTTTCCTCTGTGGGATGTTGGAGAGTATGCCTCTGATGTTTAACCAGTGGTCTCTGGGCAATTCTTCATGTGTTTTTCCTTTAACCCTCAATAGTGAACCTTTTTAGGGGAATATGGGCCATAGTTTATGGCAGTGGCTTCCAAGCACTCTGCCTTCAGAGAGGACATTCCATGTTGGCTCCTTTGCTGAGGAACTGCTATGCATCTGCCACAGAATTCTAGCCTGAAGATTCTGGAGCAGATTTATAACCCACCATCAGTTCATGTGATTGTAGGGATTCATGTGATTGTAGGGATTCACTGCTGTCCTTCCTGAACTGAGAACAAGACCTGGAGAACACACCCAACATTCCTCTGTGTCTTCATATTGCTGCAGAAGATCAGTAATGCTGGGTGGGCTGCTGTTCAGGAAAGCTTACCTGCTATTACCAAACTTCTCACTGGCCAACTCCTGAGAAGCTTACAAGGCTCCATGGAACACAGTATGAAAACTACTGTGGCAATGCAGTCAGTCACAGAGGACCCAGATGCATGGAGCCAAACAAGAGCAGCTTCAATGTTAACAAGACAATGAAGCCACGTTTCATGAAAGAGATCATTATTTAACTTCCAGACTGTGCTGTGCTCATTATGCTATTTCAAAATGTGTGCATATGTCCCTAACAGTTCTAATTGTTGGTCTAGGGGCCTCCGGGATCACAAGGACCAAGAGGAGACAGAGGACCAAAAGGAAGACCTGTAAGTTGTTAATATATGCTTTCAAGAACCTTATTTAATATATTATGTTCTCCACAATTGCAGCGGGTGTGGTACCCCAGATTGACCTCCTGTTGGAAGGAAAGATGCATACAGTATCTTGTAATGTTGGTTTGTTTGCAAATTTATTTGCAAATATAAATGCATTGCATAGCTAGACCAAAACAGAGAAGGATGAGTCAAGTAGAGAAGGATGAGTCAACATCCCCAGTGATGATGGTCAAGAAACCATCCTTTGATCAATCAATTACTGGTAAAGTGTCAAGGGAACTTGAACAAAAGGCTAGATGAAAAGCAAATAATCTGCCTTCTACAACTTGGTGCCAAATATGCCTTTAGTGTCTTGTTTCATTGCAGAGCTGCATTTTGAAGTAGAAAGTGTGTATTTCTGCGTTGCTTCATGATCACATCAAGCACGGGTCTGGCACAAATTGGCCAAGTGATGGTATGGAATGTTAGCAGTCCAACTTCTGTAAGAGATGGGGAACGAGGCTGTGTCGCAACTGAAGTTGGCTAGAGTTTTAAACCTGTCTCAGATCCTTTGTAGGGACGCGGGTGGCGCTGTGGGTTAAACCACAGAGCCTAGGACTTGCCGATCAGAAGGTCGGCGGTTTGAATCCCCGCGACGGGGTGAGCTCCCGTTGCTCGGTCCCTGCTCCTGCCCACCTAGCAGTTCGAAAGCACGTCAAAGTGCAAGTAGATAAATAGGTACCGCTCCAGCGGGAAGGTAAACGGCATTTCCGTGCACTGCTCTGGTTCGCCAGAAGCGGCTTAGTCATGCTGGCCACATGACCCGGAAGCTGTACGCCGGCTCCCTCGGCCAATAAAGTGAAATGAGTGCTTCAACCCCAGAGTTGGTCACGACTGGACTTAATGGTCAGGAGTCCCTTTACCTTTACTTTACAGATCCTTTAGATCGGGGGTGCTAACCAATGAGGTGCCCTCTAGATGTTGTTGAACTAAAGTTCCCAACATCCCAGTGGCGGAATAGGTCAGTGCATCTGGCTGATAACCAGAAGGTTGGTGGTTCAAGCCCACTCAGGTACAGCTGTGGGGAGGATTCTATGGCTGGCTGGGCTGTTGGGAGTTGTAGTCCAACAACAGTAGTCCCTACATTGACTACTCCTGCTTCAGACAGGGGCAGCTTTGTGGGATGGGCTGGGATGAGGACGCAGCGGATAGGAAAGATAAGGGGCACTGAGTTCGGAGGCAAGCTGTCTGAAGGAGAGCTACAGAATAAACAATGAACTGGGAGTATAGGAGCCTGAGGAAAGAGGAGCAGAAGGAGGCTTGATGAAAAGGGCAGAGAAGACAGGGAAAGAGTTAATGAGAGACAGGCCTCTGGAAAAACCTTGCAGAGCTTTAAGGTCATGATGGTGCTGTGGTGGTGGTGGGGTAGAGAGACAGGAATGCTAAGGAAGATGACTAATCGGCGGGATGACTAAAAAAGAAAGCTGGGGAAAGAAGCAGTGGCTGAAAAGATGAGTCCCGAGGAAACAATGGGTGGTGGAGATGTGGAGATGAAATAACAGAGCCAAGGAGAAATGCAAGAAGGAGACACAAGCACATAGGACCTACGGTCAGGAGGGAACATGTTGTATGGGCTGGAAGGAAGCAGGCAATGATGTCTTGGAAGACTGGTAACTGTGGGCCAGGAAACAAGAGGATATAGGATTGCTAAAACCTTCTGTCTAGACTGGGGTGAGGAGCCTATGGACCTCCAAATTCTGCTGAACTCCAACTCCCATCAGACTAAGCAAACATGGCCACGTATGATGGGGGTTGCAATACAGCAAGGTCTGTACTGGACTAAAGGACCACAGTTTCCCCACTCCTGGTCTAGACCTTGGCAAGGCTAGTGTACCTTTAAGAGTTACAGAGAAAGGGAATTCCTTTGGCCACTTGTGGGTTGCACCATTATGAGTTGGCGATGTTAAGGGAGCAAGGAGGGCCAAAAGACTCTACTGACTGTCTCTGTCTCTCTGGGTTGAATTTCACATATTGATTTGAACAAGCCATCCAGTTCCTTGGCTGCAAGCACTTCATTATGTTGTCATGTTTCCCAAATCTATTTTAGGCATTGAGTTAATGAGGAAGCAATGCAAGAATAATAGTGTGTTATGGTGCCATCTCGTGGTTCTCCTTAGGCAACTACGCCATTGCAATATGCACTGCATTTTGGGACAAGTTGACATAAGAAGCTGCAGGGTTAGCCTCTAGCTAATGCTTATTTTTAAAAACTCTAATCTTTTGTTTTGAGGCAGCGATCCACCAGTGCAGTGGAATTCTAATATTCTTCATTTTAAACTTCTTCTTTTTAAGGATGAGAGTAGATATCAGTCTTAACCCCTTAGTATGGTGCTCAGCTTTATACCCCGCGATATCATCCTGAAATAGACGGAATTTAGGCTTGTTCACATGTTCCACTGAATGCAAGCACAAGTTGTCTCTTCACGTGTGCAAGTGCTTGTGTGAAAGACTGTACACTTGTTGATTTGTTGTGTACATACAGGTAGACAAACTGTACACTCGTTGAATGAAACGTGTGAAGACCCCTGTAGTCATAAGGAAATGCAGTGCAGTCCATGCTTCAGATAACCTGCACTTGAAAAATACTTTAGAGATGGGACATTTATTAGAGAATACTAACACCAAACTTGCTGGCTCCAGCGAGGCAACACCTAAGCCCTCTTCACACAACAATAACTGTGGATATGATGAAAATGTGGAGGGGAGGGGAAGCGGATTTGAACCAACCTCCATTTGTTGGAACATCAGAGGGGCGTAGCACCATGGGTTGCACAGGGTTCTAGACTCTGCACAGAGAACCTGCAAGCTTTTTTCAGATTTTCTGAATGAATGCTTAGAGGCTGGTGGGGGGAGGATGGTAGACACCAGATGAGCAGTAGCAAGATTCCAGGGGGTTCCAGGCACTCACCCAGGGTCTGTGTTCATTTGGAGAATTGAGACACGGCACAGACTGCCGTAGCTTTAAAAAATATGGTTTATTCACCTAATTACACTTTCAGTCTGTAGGGAGGAAGTCCAGATTTTACAGCATGGTTTGTTCCCCTACAGCAGTGCAGCCCTGGAATCCAAGGCACCTCTCCCAGCCAGCCTTCATCCAGCCTACCCAACATGGATCCTAATCTTTTCTCTCCCCCTTCTTCTTCCCACCACACGTTGCTCTAAAGGCTCTTTTTTCCTGCCCCATACCCAATTACCCTGGCAGCCTTCCAAATCCCCAGTCTCTCTTCACACCCCAGGACAAGGGAGGAAGACAGTTCTCTTGCATTGCCAATAGCCCTCAGTGGTTCTGTATTGTTTCTTAACGGCCCTTGCTTGGCTGGGTCATTTTTGCTTAGGCTAGCTCTGAAGCTGGTATTTCTCCCTTCACATTTCAAATAATCAAAATCCTGCCATTTATTAATTTCTAGGATTTAGGGGTCGTCCCCCCCCCCAACCTATAACAATATTTAGAAAACCAATGTTCAGTTTTGTTTTGTTATAATCAAAAGATGGTACACAGTGTGACCACTGCAAGTTTCAGAATGTCTCAGATTTCTGTTGTGGTGATGTTATTTTGGCTGGCCTCTCAATCTCAATATTTAACACTGAACAATGGCACCTTCAGAAGCCCCCATCTGACATTTCATTTCATCTGTGGGAGCCTACCTTCTTCTTGAGTTAGAATCTCTCACCTGTCCGCAATATTTCTATATTCCTAGTTTTTTTTTTATTAAAAAAAACCCCAAGCATAAAATACACTTGGTCCTATGCTGCAGGTGAGAGGAAGTTGAGGTGAAAAACATGAATAGGAAGCACATTTGTAGTTCATATCAAAAGGCCATCCCTTCCTACTGAAGATGCTTGCTAGGCAGCACTTACTTATTCTCCTCCTGGTCTTTCATACTCAGCTACTAAGTGACTCCATCCATTCAAAGTCAAAATGGCAGAGCCCTGTCGCAAACGAACAAGGCTATGAAGTGCATGAGGTTACCTCAGATGAGTCACCACAGATTTTATTCCAGACAGCTCCATGAAATGTTTCTTCTGTTTTCCTCATTCCTCCCCTGCCTCACTGTCATCCAAACAACCTGTTTGGCTATATGCCTTGTGCTGAAAAAGAAGCTATCGTGCGGAATTATGTTGCTATAAATCTTGGACCGTGTGCCATGGAACCCAAGAGGTTCCTCTCAATTTGCACCAGTGTGAGTGAAAAACGATAGAGTGGAGTAAATGACAATCTGGGGAAAACCTGAATTGCTGTTTGCTCCGACTGAGCCCTAAAGAGCTCCCTAAATCTGTTTCGGAGGGTGCCTTAACCCTATGAAGCAGATTTAGATGGAGGTATAAAGGGCTGGTGGCGCTGTGGGTTAAACCACAGAGCCTAGGACTTGCCAATCAGAAGGTCAGCAGTTCAAATCCCTGCGACGGGGTGAGCTCCCGTTGCTCGGTCCCTGCTCCTGCCAACCTAGCAGTTCGAAAGCACGTCAAAGTGCAAGTAGATAAATAGGTACCGCTCTGGCGGGAAGCTAAATGGCGTTTCCGTGCGCTGCTCTGGTTCGCCAGAAGCGGCTTAGTCATGCTGGCCACATGACAGCTGTATGCCGGCTCCCTCGGCCAATAAAGCAAGATGAGCACTGCAACCCCAGACTCGGCCACAACTGGACCTAATGGTCAGGGGTCCCTTTACCTTTACCTTTTATAAAGGGCTGGAAGGGAAAGCGGGAATTGGTGAATATTGTCTCCCACTCGCCTTTCCACTGACAAATTCCTTCCACCAGCAGACAGAAAGAACTGGATGCCACCCTTAGTTCTTAGATCTGAAATCCTTCTAGGAGAAGGGGGGAAATGGTATCGAAGTCATAATCACCCGTCTGATGTTTCTGGCTTTTGAAAAGAAACCATGGGTGGAAACGTTCAGCCCAAAAGTAGATTGTTTTGCCAGGTTCTGCTGGAATGAATGGGATCTGTGTGAGAATGGAAGTTATCTAATAATTTAAGATCCGTTTCAAATGTTACAGCTCCCATCTTAAGGCTGGTGAGAAAGCTGTGGTGCAGAGATGTTGACTCTGTTGGTCTGTGAGCATCTATTCATGAGTTTTCAATTATTTCTGCAGCAGAGTTCCTTTTACAGAAAAGCTTTTCTGCACCTTTTTCTTCTTTACAACAGCAGCAGCGGCATTCCAGCTCCTAGTGAAATTCCCACTGCACGAATAAGCACCATTTGGTTCTGTTTCTCAGAGTCTTTATTATTTGCAAAACTTTACACTGGTCATTAATAAATAGCTGAAAAACAAATAAAGCAACATAATGCTTTTCCTCTTTTAGCCATTCGGCCAGAGACCTAATGCTGACTTATTCACGAGCTCATTTACATTGACCTAGCCTTAATTGATCACATGACCTAATAAAGGCACCTGTTGCTGGGGGAATTTTCTGTTGCCTAGCAGCTTGTTCAAGACCATTTTCAAGTGCCTTCTACAATATTCCAACAGACTCCATGTGAGGGTTGAAACTTCTGGAGTTGTGGCCATACTGCTATAGGTACCTTCACCTTGCCTAGGTACCTTCAGTAACAAGAAGGGCTCTCTGTATTCATCATGAGCGTGCCGAGTCTAATTTGGAACTTTGGTGTTTTTTTTAAAAAATAATATTTATTAAAGTTTCAAAGGGAAAAAAAACCACATTAGTAAAAAAAAAATTAACAATGAAAAGGAAAAATACAAAGTAGAAAAAAAGAAAAAACAGTTAAAAACAATTCCATCTTTTCCTGACTTCTTTTACGTTTACTTGTTTCCCGGACCTCCTCATACCTCCCTTTTGTATTCCAATTAAATTTGTTAATCCAACAATTCCTTTCCCTCCTTTTTAATCCTAATCTTTAATCTTGATATGTTATAACTTTAAATTTTTACATATTAAAAACCAATTTTTCCATATTCTTTTGTACCTGTACAGCTAGAAACCACTTAACTTCAATCCAACATCATTCTAACATTCATTAATTTTGCAATATTTCTGTAAATAGTCTTTAAATTTCTTCCAATCTTCTTCCACCGACTCTTCTCCCTGGTCACGGATTCTGCCAGTCATTTCCGCCAATTCCATGTAGTCCATCATTTTCATCTGCCATTCCTCCAGTGTGGGTAGATCTTGTGTCTTCCTAATTTGGAACTTTGTTGGTCTGTTTATGTTCTGCAAATACCTGTCCTGATTTTTACTACTTCTCGTTTTAGGGTGCACGTGGTCCTCCAGGAATAGATGGGGAACCTGGTATACCTGGACAACCTGGCGACCCTGGGCCTCCCGGTCAACCATCCACAGGGCCAGATGGAGTGGGCAGAGTAAGTGACGTTTGTCTTGGGCACTATAAGAAGAGAAACTCAGGGTAGCAGCGTGCAGGCTGATGTTTGAACTTCAGGATTTCAAACTTACACAATAAATGTAGAAATGTTTTGAATTTTCGGTTGGTTTCAGTTTAATCTTGCCTTTGGATGGAGACATGGGGTGGATCCACACACAGGGGGGAAAACGCTATAAATAAGTCAGAAATCAAATTGTTATGACAAAAGGAACAAAATGCTATGTAAAAACCGCATAGATTTTTTTTTGGCTCTCTGCTGCCATTTTTTGCATGTTCATAACGAATTCAAAACATTGTTTTTTGACTAACGTAGCTGAGTCCATTGTGTTGATGTTTCATGCCACTTGCTCTCCAGCCAAAGACTGTTTTGTTTTTTAATCGTCTGGAATCAAAACTTGAAATATTGAAATAGGAAATCAGGGAATTTATTTATTTGGATATTGATGCATTTAGAATTTTTTTTCCAGCTTTATTAACTGAAATAAATGACTGTGCTATTTAAAGGGAAAGAGGGAGAATAGTTGAAGGTTCAGTTTTGTCTGCTGGGAAGCTGCCTCAGCCAAATCTCACACAAAGTGAAGGTAGCTAGGAGTGGAGGAGGAATCCATTTTAAATTGGCGCTTCTAATTTGATCAAGCTTTGCTTGCATCAGATAGCTCTTGCATCAAATGGCCAGTTATGTGCATTAAAAAACAACAACTCACTAACTTTATTTGCAAAATTATCAAAAAATATGTATATTTTATGTATAAAAGCATTACTATATTTATGCATCATGATTCTACAGTATGTATAAACATTTTTATACACTTGTATGCATCGTCGTTGTCATCATCATTTTGTTTGCATGCCGCCTTTCAACAAAAAAATTGTGCTCAAGGCGGCTTATGAGAGCGAGGCCAACAATATGCCCTGAACCAAGTGACCTGCAGTCTAAGACTCAGGCTGCACATATTTGTGACATCTCTGCATATAAAGTAGGGCTGCCATACGTCTGGATTTTACCAGGATTTCAAAGGCGGAATTGATGGGGATGGGGGATTTCAGAAACGTGGCGCTTTGTCCAGGATCTTAGGCAAGTCAATTGAATAATCACATTTTCTAGGCTTTTTTGTGAAAGAAATCTCAACCAATCTGGGGATTGTCTAAAACAGGGGTGTCCAAACTTTTTTCAAAGAGGGCCAGATTTGATGAAGTGAACATGCGTGAGGGCCGACCAAAGTTGTTGGGCTTTTTTAGAATTGAAATTGTTGAGCTTTTTTTAGGATTGAAGTTGTTGAGCTTTAAATCTTTAAATCAGACTTTGGACATGCCTGCTCTGAGAACAGCTCAACAACTCTTGGTGCGCCCTGGTTTTTACTTTTTGAAATATGGCAACCCGATAGAAAGACACTTTATATGTTGCATAATTATCTCTGTCAACTAAATAATATGCGATTTGACAGTGGGCACTGCTTAATTCTTTTGTAAGTCCTAATTGCACCTTAGAATTACAATTTCTGTGGCAAGATTTCTGTGTAAATGTCAGCTGACTGAGGTAAAACAAACGAAATCCTAGGCAACTTGTCAGATTTGATGGTTGAGGAAAACACTCCTGAGGTAATACGTGAGGCAAGAATCTATACAGAAATCTGTGGAAACGCAGGGCTATCTTAGGTGAAATTTCCTTTAAAAAAAATTAAACAATTTCAACAAAACAAATTATCAATCAAAATGACCAATTACATTTTTTACCCATATTTATTCCCCCCATCCCTCCTTCTCCCCCCATCAAAGACTTCCCTCAGTTCCCCTCTCTGATTTGTTTGCACACATTATTCTCTGCATGTTAAAAGTTGTACCTTATCTGTCACATATTCTATTAATAAATTTGTGGATGTTTATTCAAAACCTTCCAAGGAGTCCAAGTCATTTTGGGTTGTTTTTTTTAGATAGTTTGTAAAAAGTTCCCATTCTTCCTTGAAGTCACAATTGTCCTTCTCACGTAATTTATATGTCAACTTTGCCAACTCCGCATAACTCATCAGATTAGGTGAACTTTCCCACTTTTTCATATATAAAGGAAAAGAATTGCATAAATTAGGCTTGCATGCATTTGGATCCTCATGCTAACTACTTTAAACAATTACCCTAGATGTTTGGTGGAAGGTGTGGGGGGGCAATATTGGGACCAACCCCAGAGGTTTGCCATGCTCTCCAAACCTCTATTCCCCCACAGATCAACCATCAAAACCTAGCCATGAAGAGTTTGTTGCTTTGTATCTCATCCCTGTATGGAACACTGGCAGAAACTTAAGATTGGGGGAAACCCAAAATGTCCCATTCCATGGGCATTGCTGCAACTATTTCCCTCCAATGATTATCGTTCCTCTTCATAATTCCCAAGGGCTGAAACTAGAATGCGTTAGAGGAAGCAATTCAAAGTGGTATGAGGCATGACAATGACCTGACCTCTCATGTACTGAATTTTTCCGTCTATAAGATGCCCACGTCTATAAGACGCCCCCTATTTTTGGGGCCTCAAAATTTATAAAATGGGGGGGAAGTTTGAGCTTTTGGGGAGGATTATGTCAGGGAACTGCCATCGACTCAGGGGCAAGAGGAGAAAAGCCGGATGGATTACAGAGAGCCCCCAAAGATCGTGGGAAGCAGCACCTCCTCAGCGGAGGAGAGTAACCACGCCTCCAGTGGAGAGGAGCTTCAGGGCTCGGGGGAGGCGAGGCGGTGCCAGGACACCTTGCCTGAGCAAAGAGGGGAGGAGAGAGGTCCTCCGTTACCCACACCCTCCTTGCGCAGTAGGCTTTCACGCAGAGAGGGGAGGTGCAGACTGGGCGTCAAGAGACTACTCTGCTGGGGAAGGTTTAAGGACCGCCCACTCAGATTCTGCCAGTGAATGAGCCAGCCGCGGAATAGTGGCGCTCTGCCTGGTGAAGGTTTTTTTTTGGCACCAATAACAAGGCTTTACAACAGACCAGGGAGGCATTTGCCTGATTGCTCTCAAGCAACCCCCTGATACCCTTACAGACTATTTGGGGGGGAATGCTGAAAATCGCTCACCCGCCAGAACGCAGCACACAACCACAAGCGTCGCTTACAATTGCCGTTTACAATCTTGGGCTCGCACTTCGTTCCGGCGGGTGAGCGATTTTTGGCTTTGGCCGCTTGATTGTTGTGGGAGGGGGGAATCCCAAAAATCGCTCACCCACCTGATCGCCACCATTAGTCCTCCTGCTTGCTGCTGCGGCAGTCATTAGACAGCTGCCCTTGTCGCAGCAAGCGGGAGTGTGATTGGCGGCCGCTGGTGGCGATCGGGGAGCTGATAGGTGGTTTCTGTGACGCAAGTCCAAGTTTTTAAGCGGCGATTGGCCGCTTGATTGTTGGGGTGGTGGGGAGATGCCGAAAATCGCTCACTCATTGGAATGACGTGTGAGCCCGAGATTGTAAGCGGCAATTGTAAGCGACACGAGCGGTGTGTGCTGCGTTCTGGAGGGTGAGCGATTTTCGACACCCCCCAACAATCAAGCAGCCAATCGCTGCTTACAATCTCAGGCTCGTGCCAAAAAAAATTTGCGTGTCCCCCCTTAGCACTACCCATGTATAAGATGAGCCTAAATTTTGAACCTCATTTTTGGGTTAAAAAAGCTAGTCTTATACACAGAAAAATACGGTACTTCAGAAAATTACCATTTCTGAGACGGAAATGCTAGTTTCCTTATATGTCTGGAGATTTATTTATTTTTGGTCTGGCATCCATTGTGCCATCTATTCTGCTTAAAAAGAGTGATGTGTTTTGCTCATAGGTGAAACCTCATGAGCATGGTGTCAATCAGAAAATCCAGATTGACAGCAGCTTTGTAGTGCCAGAGTGTGAGGGTAACAAACAGTGATTTACAGAGCAATCCTTTACACGTCTACTCAGAAGTAAGTCCCACTGAGTTCAGTAGGGCTTACTCCCTGGTAAGTGTGTACGGGATGGCAGCCTTAAATATTTACATACATTGATATTTACCCCAGCCTCTTGTGACGTGCAGAAAGTTTAATCAGTGCTGGTTTAATTATAAATTATTCCCTTTTAATTAAGTTTGAAATTATTCTTGATCATGGCGTGTGTGACATCCTTGAGAGGGAACGGGGCTATCATTCTCATGGGCTTGGGAGATAACAGGGTACATTTTTTAAAAATAAGCAGAGCCTGGGATAATTCAATTCATGCTCATTTTTCAAACTCTTGACTCCCAGAGCTCAACGTGAGGATAAGGCATTTTCCTTTTAATTAAACTTGGCATACCTTTGGAAACAAATGAAATGCAGGTGATGGCAGGATGAATTTTGAAGGCAAATGATTAATGGACTTTGGAATTGATGAGCTTAAGGAAAACCTTAACTTTACAAAGCTGAGGCTGCTGTCCAGAGGTCTGTAAGACTCAAGGAATAATAGAATCAAAGAACTGTAGAGTTGTAGGGTCATCTAGTCCAACCCCCTGTGGTGCAGGAATATGCAGCTGTCCAATACAGGGATCGAACCCATAACCTTGGTGTTACCAGCACCATGCTCTAACCAATTGAGCTACTCAGGCTTCAGTACAATTTGAAGCAATGCAGCCTTCTCCAACATTGTGCTCTCTCAGTGTTGTTAGACTCCAGATCTAATCAGCATGGTCGATGGTCAGGGATGATGGGAGCTGGAATCTGACACCACCTGGGGAGCCCCTGGTTGGGGAAGCCTGGTGATAAATGATATAGGAATCACAGTATAGTGAGTTCAACATTCAGTTCTGAGGATTGGGGGCGGGGCGGGGGCAGAAGGCCTGGTCCGAATCTCAGCTTGAAAAGACCAGAGGCAAAAAAAACAACAACAACCTAGCAAGCAGTTCGCTCCTAATGATTGTAAGATTTGCAGTGAAATCCTAGACATGCTTAGTCAGAAATAAGTCCTACTGAGTTAAATGGAACTTAAAGGCTTGTAAGTGTGCAGGGATGGGTTTCTCGAGTACCTCGCTTTACTTTTATGATTGCAAGTTGTTTTAAATTGTTTTTAATGTTGTGACCGACCATGGAGTGAAGGTTGGGTTATAAATAAATTGTCGTGGTTGTTGTTGTTGTTGTTTTTATCATCATCATTCACACCTGCACACATACCCCTGACCTTGCAAAACAACAACAACACACCACCCACATCTTTTAGGATTTACCTTAAGGTTAATGGTTATCCTTCTTATGATTGCAGCCATTTACATCTCAGATGGCAGGACTGGATGAAAAGTCTGGGCTTGCTGGCCAAATGGGGTTCATGCCCGGAGCAGTGGTAAGAATATTTTATTTATCTGTATATTTGTTGGCTACAGGATTTCTATTCCGCCTTTCCATTTTCAAAGCAAAGCAACTGAGCTAGCCAACAAGAAGAATTTTTAAAACAACAGCCATCCAGTAAGACAACATAGGATACAATGGATAATATTCAACTAAATTATATAGTGGTACCTTGGTTCTCAAACTTAATCCGTTTTGGGAGTCGGTTCGACCGCTTGAAAATCAAGGCGCGGCTTCTGATTGGCTGCAGGAGCTTCCTGCACTCAAGTGTAAGCCGCGTCGGATGTTCGGCTTCCGAAAAATGTTTGCAAACTGGAACACTTACTTCCAAGTTTGTGGCGTTTGGGAGCCGATTTGTTCGACAACTAAGCCATTTGAGAACCACCGTACTCAGATTATACTCATTGAAATCAATGAATTCCCTCTTTTCTTATTCTGATGAGGTTTGCTATTACTACTCATTATACATGTGGGTCCTACACCTCTGCCTGCTTTTGTAGCTGTCGAGTCTTCTGTTGCGTTCTTAATTACGAGAATAAATGTGTTATTTATGGGTCATGGTTCAAAGCTCTGTGTCCCCAGCCAAGCTTTTGACTGGCGCTTCTTGAACAGCAGCTCCACAAGGCGCATGGCATCCCCTTTTGAAAGGGGATCCAATTTGTACTGTGTGGGATGTTTTTATGGGCACGCATATGTGTTTTGACACCCAAAATGGCTTCATTGAATGACGTACAAGCTTTTGTAAAACAAGAAAATGTTAAATATCTGCTTAGATTACTAAGACCTAAATACTGGAAAACAACTAAAGCTCTGTCTACAGAGGAGTGGTATCGGAAAAAATGTGTTTTGTTCAGATCCTGAACAGGAGGAGCTGTTTATAAGGACCTAGAAAGATGGTTCCCTCAAGTAGATGTTTATGAACAAGCTTTAGTTATATATTTTTTCTTTCTCTCCCTCCATTTAGTGTATTTCAAATTAAAGACCTTTATGAGACAAATTAAGAGTTATTAGTTGTTAGTGGTCTAAAAGCTTGCAATCCTACATATCTGGGAATAAGCCCCATTGAACTAAATTGAGCTTTCTTGTGAGTAGGTAAAAGGTAAAGTAGACATGGATAGGATCACCCTGTTAATTAGTGTGCTATTTTTTCTGTGTGTATTTTATATAGATAGATCTTTGTCATTTTCTGTATTTTATATCACATCTGTTATAAATAATTTCAAAAACAGGTTGAACCCTCTAATCTCTTATTTTTTCTCTTTTTTAATGCCATTTGTCAATATGTTACTTACAGGTAACATTTCTGACCATTTTTACTGAGGTGGTAACTTGTGACATATAGCAGTGTTCCTCTATATCAATAAATATATAATTTCCAAAATAAATCCACATAGAAAACTAGAATACCACCAGGAAAGCTGTTAGCATACTTCTCTTTTACATGCTTATTTATAGGTATGCTTGAAGATTTTGTTTTGTCCATATTTTAAAGCAAACTGATCTGATTTCTACTTCTTGAAGTAGAACACTCTTATTCGTGGTTTTCGGAACTTTTCTGAATTTTGCAATGCAGTTCTCAGCCATTTGGCGAAGGGCCATAGCTCAATGGTAGAGCACTTGCTTTGTATGCAAAAGGTCCCAGGTTCTATCTCTTGCATCTCTAGGTATAATGATAATAATAATTAATAATAACTTATTATTTATACCCCGTCCATCTGGCCGGGCCTCCCCAGCCACTCTGGGTGGCCTCCAACAAAGATTGTTGTTGTTTAGGCGTTTAGTCGTGTCCGACTCTTCGTGACCCCATGGACCAGAGCACGCCAGGCACTCCTGTCTTCCACTGCCTCCCGCAGTTTGGTCAAACTCATGCTGGTAGCTTCGGGAACACTGTCCAACCATCTCGTCCTCTGTCGTCCCCTTCTCCTTGTGCCCTCCATCTTTCCCAACATCAGGGTCTTTTCCAGGGAGTCTTCTCTTCTCATGAGGTGGCCAAAGTATTGGAGCCTCAGCTACAGGATCTGTCCTTCCAGTGAGCACTCAGGGCTGATTTCCTTCAGAATGGAGAGGTTTGCTCTTCTTGCAGTCCATGGGACTCTCAAGAGTCTCCTCCAGCACCAGAATTCAAAAGCATCAATTCTTTGGCGATCGGCCTTCTTTATGGTCCAGCTCTCACTTCCATACATCACTACTGGGAAAACCATAGCTTTAACTATACGGACCTTTGTTGGCAAGGTGATGTCTCTGCTTTTTAAGATGCTGTCTAGGTTTGTCATTGCTTTTCTCCCAAGAAGCAGGCATCTTTTAATTTTCGTAGATGTCAAATTATCTATTTGACATCTATGGGAAGGCGTTCCTCTTTGACATCTGATGGAAAGGCACCACTACCTGCTTCCCTGTAACTTGGCTTCTCGCAATGAGGGAACTGCCAGAAGGCCCTCAGAGCTGGATCTCAGTGTCTGGGCAGAACGATGGGGGTGGAGACGCTCCTTCAGGTATACTGGACCGAGGCTGTTTAGGGCTTTAAAGGTCAACACCAACACTTCGAATTGTGCTCAGAAATGTACTGGGAGCCAATGTAGGTCTTTCAAGACCGGTGTTATGTGGTCTTGGTGTTATGTAGGACTAGGAACTCTGGTAAAATGATGCCCATCAATGTTGTCAATACAGAGCTAGATAGATCAGTGATCTGACTTAATATAAACTAGCTCCCTATGTTTCAGGTAAGAAAAAGTACCAAAATGTGCATAAAATGCATTATTTTAGGTCAAAATAGTATCAAAATACGCGTTTTAGGTTGTGGCTGGAAATGGGGCTTTCAGCACAAAAAGTGCATATTTTGTACAACAACCATATCTGCAGATTGATGTGGAAATGATGTTGAACAGATTAATGAAGGAGCATAAGTGAAAACTTATATGGCTCAGAAAAAGACTGATCAGTCCATCCCTAGTTTTTTGTATACCGAGATTTTTTGGTTTGGGGTAGAGTTGCCACCTTTGGTCTGGGAAAATAAAGGACAGGATGGGGACGGGGGGACGGCGGCAACTGCATATCCTGCAAGTGACTGGGAAATCCCATTTTTAATTGTGAGAGCACGTCAGCCATTTTGGTTACCATGATGCAATTTCATGATGCAATTTCCCACTGGAAAAGCACTTTTTCAGGGCTGTGATTTTACGCCGTGCCCCCAAACACACATTTGTGATAAAACACTTTGGGGGGGGGAGTGCGGTGTGAAATGGTGCGTGATCATGACAACCAGAATGGCCGCCATGTTCTCATGACAAAAAAAAAAAAAAAAAAAGGCAAGATGGCATCTGGCAAGAATTTTGGCTTCAAAGTATTTGAGGGGATGAGAAAGAGAGAGAGAGAAAAAATGAATTAGCAAAATGGAAATTCAGGACAAACTCTGTCCTGTATTAAATCAATACAGGACATAGCATTTTACATTAAAATCCAGGACAATCCTGTACAGTGGTACCTCGGGTTAAGTATTAATTCGTTCCGGAGGTCCGTACTTAACCTGAAACTGTTCTTAACCTGAAGCACCAATTTAGCTAATGGGGCCTCCTGCTGCGCCACCGGAGCACGATTTCTGTTCTCATCCTGAAGCAAATTTCTTAACCTGAAGCACTATTTCTGGGTTAGCGGTGTCTGTAACCTGAAGCGTATGTAACCTGAAGCGTATGTAACCCGAGGTACCACTGTATTATACAGGTTGGCTGGCAACCCTAGTATTGAGGAACATTCAGTCATGTAAGCTATCACCTTTATTACTACAGATCAAGCCCAGGTTTATCAGTTTATCTTTTATGACACAGAGCACATATAGCAGGATGCTTTGCATGTCATACTGTAAAGCATTTGATTCCTTTCTTTTAAGACCATATGTTTAACAAAGGTTTGTTTTCTCCCACAGGGTCCCGTGGGTCCACGTGGGCCTCAAGGTCTGCAGGGACAACCTGTAAGTGGTTTGATAATTAAAAGTATAATTGGTAGCATTTGGGGGAAATAATAGACAATGGTTTATCATTTGCATTAGTGTGTTACAGTCAACTTTAGGAATGTGTTATCTCCCACTCCCAATGAACTGTCTGGAAATTGAATTTCTTTCTTTCTTTCTTTCTTTCTTTCTTTCTTTCTTTCTTTCTTTCTTTCTTTCTTTTAACCGCTGCTTAGCATTGCATCTGAACTCTTAACTTCTGTTAACTATGGTTAGTTGAAGCAAGGAATTTCCTAACTCATATTATGAATTTGGCTTTTTTTGGTAAACCTTTGCTAAGATTAGCCACCGTTTGTCCATGTTTGTAAACAACAACAACAAACATTTTATTATTTATATGCCACTAATCTGACTGCCACTCTGGGCAGCTCTCAACAATGTATTAGAAACACAATAGAACATCGAGCATTTCAAACTTCCCTATATAGGCACTTAATATCAAGCTGCAGTTAAATAATAATAATAATAATAAATGAAGTGAAAGCTTCCAATCTGAGGGGAGAATGTGTGAGCTCAAGACTTACTGTGGCTTACTCCTTTATTAAAGAACAGTGGTTCTTTGACAGCTATTACATCAACAATATTGTGACAAAGAACAGTGGTTCTTTGACTGCTATTGTGTCAACAATATTGTGTCAAAGAACAGCGGTTCTTTGACTGCTATTGTGTAAACAAGAAGACTTTCAGGGACATTGCAGCCCCCAATAAGTTAATCAAAGTTAGTGGAAAGGGATTTCTTCAGTAGAACTGCTTTGCCTAATCCTGCTCCATTACTGCCCAAGTTTTATCAGTGACATCTTTTGGATAATGATAAAAGTATTGGCTGCTAGTTTACTCATTACTGGAAACGATTCTTGTTGTCATGTACAGTTATTTGCTGCTGTGCTCATATTGCTGCCTCTCCCTTCAAGAAGCCGAGAGTAGCTTCCACGGCTTCTCCAAGCCGTCATCTGTCAAGATGTGGACTACCCCAAGATCTGTTTATAAGCTTTATAAAAATTTATATGAGTTGGAAATAGATTCATAGACGATGCAAGATATTTCACATCATGTCTTTCCTTGTCTAATAGATTTCTCCAATTCTGAATGTATATTTTCTCTGTTTTAGGGTGCTCCAGGCCCCTCTGGCCCTCCAGGTGAACATGGAGATCCTGGGCCAATGGTAAGGTCAATGATGCTTCTACCTACCCAAATTTTAAGGGGGTAGGGAAAGAAAAGTGTTCTGCAATGAAATGAGGTGTTGTAAGTTCTAGTGGTGGCACCACTTATGTGGAGGTTATGTGAACCCAATTTGGGGAAACATTTCCTCTCAAGACAATAAAGCTTTGCTTATTGTTTAAGTTTTCCACTTGTTCTGATTTTATGAGGGGGCAATCTATTCCTCATCCCACCCCATCCCCGGAATTGTTTAATTTGTTAATTTAAGAGTGCATCTTTTATCTTGCTAGGGACCAGCTGGTGTTCGTGGTCCAGAAGGCCCTCCAGGGAAACCTGGCGAAGACGTAAGTTTCAAAATGCTCACCTTTCAGATTTGCCAATGGTATGCTAATGACAGCATTATGACATCACATGTAATCTATTGTACTCCCAAAAACTGGCTTTAGAGAGTGAGGAACTCCATAGAGCAGCTTTTGAGTGGCATGGGTGCTACAGAAGAGGGATTTTGTGATTCCTCCATGCACACAGATTACTGGTAGATGACTAGAAAAATCTGAAACTTGCCATTTTTAATTTCTCCAGACTTGTACAGTGGTACCTCGGTTTTCGAATGTAATCCGTTCCGGAAGACCATTTGACCTGAAACATTTGAAAACCAAGGCACAAAGGGCAGCCTGCAATTTCAATGGAGAAAATTGAAAAGAAAAGAAAAACCTCAGCAGAAGCCATTCAACTTCTGAAAAGCAATTACTTCTGGGTTTCTGACGTTCAAAAACTGAAAGTTTGGCTTCCGAGATGCTTGAAAACTGAGGTACCACTGTATCATCCACCTGTCGGCAACACTTGCTATTTACAAAGTGACCTTTGCATACATATGGACTAGAAACTTATCTTTCATTTTTCATTGTAAGCTGGATTCCTTCAATATTGATACACAGAATGCTAAACGTGGATTTATGCTCAGTTATATTAAAAGGCTCCTGCCAACCTAGCAGTTCAAAAGCATGTCAAAGTGCAAGTAGATAAATAGGTACCGCTCTGGCAGGAAGGTAAACGGCGTTTCCGTGCGCTGCTCTGGTTCGCTGGAAGTGGCTTAGTCATGCTGGCCACATGACCTGGAAGCTGTACGCCGGCTCCCTCGGCCAATAAAGTGAGATGAGCGCTGCAACCCCAGAGTCGGCCACGACTAGACCTAATGGTCAGTGGTCCCTTTACGTTTACCTATATTAAAAGGGGAAATCTCCAAAGATGCCTTTTTGCTAGCAGAAAGCACTTCCACTATCGCGATGTATGGCTCCCAATTTGTGCTGATGCCCCCTACCCACTGACACCCCCTTGCTGGTCCTGAGAGCTTGAAAACCCTCCTCAGTAGAGGGCATGGGTCAGGGGCTGCTATAAATAGATGGGGTTGATAAAACTGGGCGTATGAGTGCAGAGTCACCATTGCTACAGCCCGCTATGGAGACTCAGTTTCAAGACCATTTTAATAGCATTTTCCAACCATCCCTTACCATCACCAACTGTTACATAGGGCAACAGCTTGCATTAATCTGCCAGAACATGGATTCCAACAGAGATTTGACTCCATCCTGCAGGTGAGTGGGGCAATCCGCCTCTCAGTCATATGACATCATTATGACACCACATGATTGGCAGGTGGATTGCCCCACTCACACTGGGTCCTCAAGCACCTTACAGCCAGCTGGCTGCTGGGCACTTGGGAACTGGTGCAAGGGGCGGTGCCAACCCTATGCTCAATGATTCAGGAAGCACCAAGCACAGGACTGCCATTTCCTCCCTTCTCTCCACCCCTAACAGGGGTGGACCTTGGTTATATGCTGCCCTGTGCAAGGCCATTTGCAGTGCTGGCTTAAGCCGGGCTTTGGGAAGGAGGCGTGAGGCTCTGGCAGGGCCCTAGAGCCCTTCCTCCTCCTTCCCAAAGCCCAGTAAGCACTTGCCTAGCTTTGGGAAGGAGGCAGGAAGAAGAAGAAGAAGAGTTTGGATTTGAGATCCCGCTTTATCACTCCCCTTCAGGAGTCTCAAAGCGGCTAACATTCTCCTTTCCCTTCCTCCCCCACAACAAACACTCTGTGAGGTGAGTGGGGCTGAGAGACTTCAAGAAGTGCGACTAACCCAAGGTCATCCAGCAGCTGCATGTGGAGGAGCGGAGGCGTGAACCCGGTTCACCAGATTACGAGTCCACCGCTCTTAACCACTACACCACACTGGCTCTCAGGAGGATACTAGGACCCTGTCAGAGTCCTCACGCCTCCTTCCTGAAGCCAAACAAGCACTTAATGGGCTCTGAGATGCCACCCTCCTTGGCTGCATGCCCAGTGCGACCACACTGCTTGCACTGCCCGAAATCTGCCCTTCCCAAAAGTTGGGAGAAGGAAGAGAAAGAAGCCTTTATTTTGCATGCTTTGAATGCTCAAGGAAGAACTCGCTCTTGCAGCCGAGGTGTGCAAAAAAACCAGGATTCTTTCTTTCCGCCCGCCCTGCTGTACAAGCTGATTGGCAGGTTGGTGTGGTTTGGGCAAAATGACATTACAGCCAAAACTGGACCCCCCTGGCAGACTAAGACTGACCTGCACATGGGAGGTTCGCCACGCCTGTAATAAAGGTTTCTATACAGCTGCAAGCAGAAACTTGAGAGATACCTTCTGTTTGCAGCATGACAGACTGAAAGGAATGTAGAAGTGCTCAGTTTATACAGGTCAATTAGAGTTTCGCCCCTGAAATGCTAATCATAGTGCTGAGAAAGGTGTTTTTAACCCAGGCTGGGGAGGGAAGGCTAATGACACTCCCCACCCCCTCAGCACCTGGTGTTGGTTTAAAAAACCAAACCAAACCCACTTCATGACTGCTAATCACTTCGCTACTAATATTTATTTAGGCCCCTCGAGTGGCATAAGAAAGTGCTAATGAGGTGTTTGTTATGTTTCTTCTGTTTGTCTTGTCACCCAAAAAGTTGTGCTACGTTAAGCTGACATGCACATATAGGTCAGCAAAAAAGAAAACTTGAAAAATGTTTTGGGGGGGGAAAAGGGAAGAAAGATTCAGATATAGATATTTAACAATGTCACATTGAGTTATATAAACTCCCTTGTTCACATATATAGATGATTTGTATGTGTGAACGTTATTGATGGATTGCAAAATAAATCTGAACTTTTTTTTATCTGTTTGCTCTTCTTAGGGTGAAGCTGGCAGATCAGGACAACCCGGAGAAGTTGGATTCCCAGGGTCTCCAGTATGTTCATGAGCATTTATTCATAGAAAGTCCTGGTGCCTAAACTCCCAGGATAGTAGACGCCTAGTAGACTTACCATGTTTCGTTTTGCTTGACATAAAAGCTTAGCAAAACCCTACACACCACTTTACATTATGGGAAACACTGATGATTCCAAACATGTTTTTGAGTTACCATAGAATTTATATATGAAAAGCTTTGCTGGCAATTGTATACTAAGCCTTCCTAAAACAACACTCAACCAGATATACTGTATTTTTTGCTCTATAAGACGCACCAGACCACAAGACACAGCTAGTTTTTGGAGGAGGAAAACAAGAAAAAAAATATTCTGAATCTCAGAAGCCAGAACAGCAAGACGGATCACTGTGCAGTGAAAGCAGCAATCCCTCTTGCTGTTCTGGCTTCTGAGATAGCTGCTCAGCCTGCATTCGCTCCATAAGACACACATACATTTCCCCTTACTTTTTAGGAGGGAAAAAGTGATCTTATAGAGCAAAAAATACGGTATATATTTACACACACACAATGTGTGTGTGTGTGTATATATATATATATATGTGTGTGTGTGTGTGTGTGTGTATATATGTGTGTGTGTGTGTGTGTGTGTGTGTGTGTATATATATATATATATATATATTCACCACTACCAGAGCAAATCAATAGGAATTGCATAAAAAGGACTTACTCTTTTGAAGGGCTTAATGACTGATAACATATCCAAATCTGCACCAACCATCTGTAAAAATGGCCAAGTTGTATGTTCTCCTCAGGGGAGAAGTGAACAGAAAAAGCTAAGCGCTTTTTGAAGTCATGCCATTTCTGTGTGAGTGACTCTGTAGATTGTTTTTTTTGGCCACTATTGCATAGGGGGAGAGGGCACCTCTTAAGAAGAAACCTGCTCCCCACACTGTTGAAAGCAATGAGTTCAACTCTGCGGGAAACCAATAGGCAATCAGAGGACATTGTAGAGCATTGCTTTTCATTAGCTGTGCAGTTACTTTACTCCCTGTGATTTTCTTTTCTTTTCCCTGAGACCATCACTTAGGTTTCCCTTGGAAGTGTTTCATTTTTTAAAAACCCTCATAAACAATGAAAAGTTATTTCTGCATTACATCCTAACCTAAACTTAGTTTCTCTACTACGATAAAGTTCAAACTTGCATTGCACTCATAATTTCTATAAATGTGTCAGCTGCCTCTAAACTTTGCCTCCTCTTTGGACCATATTCCCTGCACAGACTCCCCTCCCAAGGCATAAAGTCATCTGCTACCCATTGAAGCAATTAATGAGTTTAATTGTAGACGTAATATTCAACGCTAGAGTAGCATTTCAGCACTTTGCAATTTTCAGCTCCTTTGTCATACAACAATAAACCAAATTAAAGTAAGGCAGATTAAATGGAGGGAGATATTTTATTTTTATTTTTATTATTTTTATTATTTATTTATTTTATTTTATTTTATTTTTTATTTCATTTTATTTTATTTGTAGCCTGTGCAGGGGAGAGTGAAAAAGCTCAGGCTTCCTTATTTCTTCTCATAAGCAACACTGCGAAATAGGTCAGTGAGCTGCTTTGGCTCAGCAGTAGAATATCTGCTTTACCTGAAAAAGGTCTCAGGTTTAATGCCCAATGTGCCTAGGTAGGGCTGGGAGAGACACCCTGCCTGAAATTCTGAAAAGCTGCCAGCAGACAGTGTAAACAATACTGAACCAGATGGCCCAAAGGTCTAGCTCTGTATGTTTTCATACCTATGTTTTTCTAGGTGAAGCTGAGATAAATTTCTCCAGATCTTGTGAAATAACTGCAGAATACCGGCTCCCTAATTATGCTGTCCTTAGAACATGTGGAAGGTTTTAGTGAGAAACAATTATTTCAAATGTCCCAAAAGTATAAAAGAAAATTCATTTGAAAAGAGAAGGAAAGGGGGCAGGTGGAAATTACATCCACAGGCTTGTAAATAAAACCAGTGAAATCAGTTTAATGTAGCTAGTAATGTGTTACCTGCTTGAGTGGGGACACGGGTGGCGCTGTGGTCTAAACCACTGAGCCTCTTGGGCTTGCTGATCAGAAGGTTGGCAGTTCGAATCCCTGCAACAGGGTGAGCTCCTGTTGCTCTGTCCCAGCTCCTGCCAACCTAGCAGTTCAAAAGCACACCAGTGCAAGTAGATAAATAGGTACTGCTGTGGCGGGAAGGTGAATGGTGTTTTCAGTGCACTCTGGCTTCCGTCATGGTGTCCTGTTGTTCCAGAAGCAGTTTAGTCATGCTGGCCACATGACCTGGAAAAATTGTCTGCGGATAAACGCCATCTCCCTCGGCCTGAAGCGAGATGAGCACCACTCCCCATAGTCAAATTTGATTGGACTTAACCATCCAGGGGTCCTTTTCCCTTTACATTTACCTACCTGCTTGAGCAGCATCTTGGATTTTGGAGCATATGTAAAGTTCTTTGCAGAAGAGAGGTTTTGAGAGAGAGCATCTCGCTGGTTGGTTCCAGGAGGCAAAGACAGGGGGTGAAACTGAGACCAGTACATGCCAGCTCCTTAATGGTAACAGGTGGTTGTTTGCCCCATTCGTGAGATACACTCCATCTCTAATGTCAATAGTCTCTGTGATCAATCAGAAATCAACTTAGAGAGTAGGTCTACCTTCTTAGTGACATTGCACTTGAATGTCTAAAGCCAGCCTTTGTGGAAAAAAGCTTAACTTGATGTATGTTCAAGAATAAAACAGTGGATTACCATCTATTCAGGATTCACTGTGAGGGTGTGAAATTCCACACACTCTAGGTGGCGCTGTTGAGCTACATCGTAATTTATTTAAAGAAATGAAGATATGCCATAAAACCATAAATAAAGGAAACAACAACCATATGTTTATTATCGGTAAAAGCATATCAAAAGAAATGCATTCTTAGATCTGTGATCATTTAATGAATAATAAAAAATTGTTCAGTAGATGATACAAGAAGTTAGATGGAAGAAGCATGGAGGGGCATCTTCGCTTCTTCAATGGTGTCTTTTTTTTGGTGCAAAATAGCTGACTTAACAGCTGTCATGTAAAAGAAAAAATTGCTTTTGGGTCTGTAGTCCTCAAAATGATTTCCCACTAGATTTGTTTAATTAAAGAGTAGTCGTATATCTCTTTCATTTTGGTAATGAAAAGTCTACCTCTCTTGTGTAAAATAATTCAGTAAGCATTCTAGCTGTTTTGTTTCCATGCATGTAAAAGGACTCTGAACCTCAGAGGCGGCTAGAGCAAATAGAACACAGCCCCAGTAAACTTGGTCTACCCTCAAGAAGTCCCCACCTGCCAGTCTTATGCCTTTCAGCTAGCTCAGCTGCCTGAACCTCCTTGAGCTCATTTTCTTACAATTCAGTAGGGAGGAGGAAGATGCCAAAACTATTGATTTGCAGTAGATTGGCAAAGGTTTCATGACTCCCAAATGTTTAACAACCACAAAATGACTTCCCTCACCTAAATTAGGCTGCTGAAGCGAAGAGAGCTAACCAGGTGCACTTTTGCTTCAAAGGACTGTGAGTTCAGCTTAGTTTTGCTACTGAAAACAAACACCTAGGCTCACCGTATGCTCAGAGGCACTCTGTTCTCAAATTCTAACTCCTATGTCTTTTGCATCTGGTGGTGGTTGGTAGGTTTTACTGAAAAGCACAGTAGTTCTCAGAAGAGCCTGAAGTCTGCTCACCCCTTCCCTACATCAGGCTTGCATGTTGTGTGTAGACTAGGGCCTAGGAGGCCGGGGTTCAAATCCCTGCTAAGCCCACCAAGTGACCATGAAGTGCTCGCTGTCTCTCAGCCTAAGCTGCCTCACATGCTCATTGTGAGGATAAATGGGATACATCTTTTGGGCCATAGCTCCTTGGTGGAACACATCCTTTGCACGTAGAATGGTCCCAAGTAGCACTGGGCAAAACTGCTGTCAAGAAACCCTAGAGAGCTGCTAACCAATCAGAGCAAACAATACTGAGCTACATGTACCAATGGTCTGACTTAGTATATACACCACCTATGTAACTATGAGTTGTTTCTCTTTGTTTCAGGGTGCTCGCGGTTTTCCTGGTGCTCCTGGCCTTCCAGGTTTAAAAGGCCATAGGGTAAGTGTGACCACGTCTGCTTTCCTGTTCAATTTTAGTATCAGGGACCGGCCGCCCACCCAAGAGCCCACCAGGGAGAAGACAGAAGATGATGACTTAGATCCCCAATCCTGGTGGTGGGACACTGAAGAGCAGGGACGAGCTGGGAGGTTCTAGAAGCAAGAGGTTTGAGCGATCAAAGGGGGGGGGGGTGTCAGAAGAAGTAGGCCCTTCCAGGATAGGGCTAGAGGTTGAAAGTCACAGTGTGAGCGCAGATTCAGACAGAGAGGAGTCAGAAGTTGCCCTTGCTACCCAATAGCAGGACAGTCCCAGTCCTGCTGGCCCTTCTCCCCATCTGATACCCTGCTGAAGGAGAGTGCTGCACATGGCTGAGCAATGGACCAGACAGGCCGAAGGCAGAAGCCCATCCCATCACCGTAGCCTTTGTCTGCTTAGGAGGGATCCAGAGTAAAACGCTGTAGGGAGAAGGGCAGAGCTTGTGGTCAGTTTCAGCAAGCCAGAGGACTCTACTGTGTTGTTATTTTCTGTTAAATAAAGCTAACTACATTCCATGCCTCCTGTGTCTCCCTGCCCTGTGGTCAACCAGGCACGTAATGTGTGTGTGTGTATGATGAACTATTCTTCTTTGAGTATTAAAAATTATATATTCTTGTATATATGTCATAGGGACATAAAGGACTCGAAGGCCCTAAGGGTGAAATGGGAGCCACTGGATCTAAGGTAATGGTTTGTTTTTGGTTTTACAGGGAAATGGCTTGTTTCTGTTGTCAGGAATTTGAAATGATCAAATCTCATGCATAGGATAACTAGGGGCAGGATTTTGATTAATGAGCCTCATTAGAGGAAGCCATGTTGCATTTGGTGGCAGCGGAAGCTTCTTGCAATGGTTGCCTTACTTCCGCACCATAATGCATAGAGCAGCTGTGTGAATTGCTCCACCCTGTGACACATCTCCATGCCACCTACAAACAGAGCTGGCAGTAGTGCTGAAGCTCTTCAGCCATTGGGGGGCAATTCAGAGTATAAACCGCTCTACCTATGTTTCGTGGGGCCCAAATGGAGTGGCATCAAGTGGCTTTCCTCTGGCGATTGTGAAGTGTAGGCCATCCTTAATCGTTGGTTTACCGTTTCCCCTTGAAATTACACACCTGAAGAAAAACAAAGCAAAATATAGTGTAAGATATAGTTCTCTGATGTAATGAGTTACCCATTACTTCTTTATCAGTACCAGAAGATTCTCCTTGACTCATGAGGGAGGTTTTCTTTAGCATCTTCCAGTGCGTAGATCTGGCCCAACTCTCCCAAAAAGGCTTCCAGCACAGGGATTCTGAAACCAAATGCCTCATTTGGACCCATCTGTTGCAGAATCCACTTTTGTAGCTTTATGGTACTTGGAATGCAAATTGCTTTCTTCATTTGCTGCTGTTGTTAGGGGGACAGCTGCATGAGACAGTGGTTTTCCTCTCAACAGT